CAGACCTGCAAGTTTGTTGGTGGAAAAACAAGATTTTTTGGTTGGACGAGGAAGCAGGTGGAGCGTGAATCTCTCCCCGAGCCGTTTCTGGATCTGTGCCCCGGTTAGGAAGGGCAAGCGAGCGGAAAGAGACCGAGTGGGAGGACAGAAAAGGAGGAAAAATGGGGCGAGAAAGAGCTCCACGGGCAGAGGAGTGTGCTGGCAGATGCAGGAAAAGAGAATGAGGAATGAGGGAGTAAAGGAGATAATGATGTTAAGAACAGGGGAGAGATGAATTGGAGAAATTAGGAACATGGCAGGATTAGAGGAAATATTCTTCCCGTCATTAGTTTTTGCTGCTCTTCTTATTCTAGGAATTAAAAAGCCACAATCCTCAGATGCAGGTTAGAACAGGATCAATAACTTTTATTAAGTAAAATTTGTTATTATTATAACAACAGTGATTCATTTAAATGCTCAGAAAGGTGGAAATGACCTTTATTTTGGGGTCAGTTTGTAGGAAATCTATCGTTTTTTTGTTTCTTAAGGGGTAAGCATCCATTCACGTGATGCTTATTGTGCGTTTTGTTGTTCTTTTTTTGGGGTTTGTAGCATGTGAGGAGACATTGCTGCGTCCTTTAAGCGAGCAGCTGTTCTCAGAGGCCTCCGGCTGCCAAACTGCTGTTGATTAGAGGAAATATTCTTCCCATCATTAGTCTTTGCTGCTCTTCTTATTATAGGAATTAAAAAGCCACAATCCTCCAATGCAGGATCAATAACTTAGTCTTATTTAGTCAAATTTGTTATTATTATAACAGCAATGATTCATTTAAATGCTCAGAAAGGTGGAAATTACCTTTATTTTGGGGTCAGTTTGTAGGAAATCTATCGTTTTTTTGTTTCTTAAGGGGTGAGCATCCATTTATGTGATGCTTATTGTGCGTTTTGTTGTTCTTTGTGGGGGTTTGTAGCATGAGAGGAGAGCAGCTGTTCTCAGAGGCCTCCGGCTGCCAAACTGCTGTTGATTTACTCACAGCCGCGGTTTGTTCTGAGGCTCTTCCCGCTGAGACAGGTGTTGGTTTACCACGAGCAGGTGCAGCTTTTGGAGGAGACGCCGTCTCACCTGTGTGTGAGCGCACCTGTTTACGGCTTCTGACCGGACCCCGGACTCTGGTCCATCAGTTTCCAGTGGGCTGGAATCCCACCGGGTTCGTATAAATTCCAGCAAATTTCAGATGTTTCCCAGCCTCTGCGGACCAGATTCAAACATTACGCAACTTTGAAAGATGGTTTATCTGGTGGTTGAAGATGGTTTTATTTGTATAAGTCTTTCCAGAGGAGCCCTGGCTGGAATCAGGTGTTTGGAAGCAGGGAAACATCTGAAATCTCCAGAGGAGGAGACAGAGACAGAAGCGGTCGGCTCCAGAACAGATGTTTTCTGAGTCGATAGTAAGAGATGCTGCAAATCGGATTCCAGAAATGGATTCCTGAGACAATTCCTCTCCTCTTTGATATGCTGCATGACCCCCTTCCCATCGGTCCAACACGGCAAGACTCCTTGTTAGCCCGACTCTTTAGTTGGAAACCTGAGAATAAACCAGATCAAGAATCAAGTAGATCAAGAATAAAAAGTTTATTAGGTCACAGGTAAAGTACATCAGCTCTGGGTCTTCAGACAAAACCTCTCTCTCAGTCGGTCAAGAGCCCTGAGAAAAGCAACATTAATTATTATTCATTATCATAAATAATCATTTCACAGTTATTTCTGAAATCAGCATTCATAAATGATTTCCCTCTAGGATTAATAAAGTATTTCTGATTCTGATTCTGATCTGGGTGTGATGGGCATTATCTCCTGGGCTCCATCCGCCTCCTCAAAGGAGGACTGGACACAACCAAGTCCTATTGGCCAGTTACCTCTGGCCATGAACAGGCCAGGTCCTAATTCATGCAGATGACACTGGAATGTGGTAACAAATGGTGTGTGTGTGTGTGTGTGTGTGTGTGTGTTGAACTAAAGGTGGATCTAATGCAACAGAGAAAAAGGAGAGTCTGTGGACACAGTCAGAGACTTTAACAAAAAATGTAAAGTTATAAAAAGAATAAGACAATCAGTAATTTACATAGATCATGTTATAGCATAATATGCTAAAATAAGTAATTATAACCACATTTTAACAGGAGGACTGGAGATAACTGAGTCCTATTGGCCAGTTACCTCTGGGCATGAACAGGCCAGGTCCTAATTCATGCAGATGACAGGAATGTGGTAACAAATGGTGTGTGTTTGTGTTTGTGTTGTCCTAAAGGTGGATCTAATGCAACAGAGCAAAGAAAAGGAGAGAAAAAGGAGAGTCTGTGGTTACAGCCAGAGACTTTAACACAAAATGTAAAGTTCTAAAAAGAATAAGACTATCAGTAATTAACATAGATCGTGTTATAGCTTACTATGCTAAAATGAGTCATTTTAGCCAAATTCTAACAACCTTTTAGATGTCCTTACAGCCCAGAAATAGCCTTCTGGATGTATGG